TTTGCTAAGTTCATTTTATTACTCATATGCTTCCTTTTTTGTACTCCCCTCTCATCTCACTGGGATTATTTTTAATCTAAATTTTTATTGTAATTGTTTATTATAATCCATTGTCATACACGTCCCCCAATATCCTAATCAGAATATCCTTAAAGTTTTCTCCATTCTTACTCTATGCAAACTACCATTGAAACTGAATTAAATTTGCTATCACATATCTGCATTAACCGGCATATTGAGCATCACCATTGCAGTTACTTCACAGCACATCTTGCACAACCCACACTAAAAAATAACACTAACTTGTCAGTATTCACCCAAAACGTTAGATCACTTAGTAATGATAAGTTAGCCAAAGAATCTGCCTTAAAGGAGCCGTTGAGTGTAACCTTGGATTGTCAATGAGCAATCTGAGAGCAGCAGTACACCGAGAACTTCAACAAGATCTTGCAGATCTGAGGCAAAGTGAAATTGACACCAGTAATTCCATCTATCATCATACTATCATGCAAGAGGAGCCACACATCTATGGATCATCCAATAAAATCAGCAGACTTCTAGATGTTACTACTGCTTGGCTTAGACTCGGTTACAAGTATCTCTGGGAATTCTCATTATCTGCTGATGTAGACCTGACCAAATGTAAACTGTGTCAACAAAATTATTCGCACACCCTCCGTCACTATGTGATGGAGTGCGAAAAGATACGAGAATTTAGAGACAATTCTATAACCAATGTTCCAGCGATGTGTAAATATTTCATTCAAAATGATCTGCTACCAGAAATTTTAGCCAAATATCCCCAGTTTGCTAACTGTAGGTAGTAACTGAGTGATTGTAACCTATCCACCGCTGCCCACTGGATGGGGGGCGGTGTGCAGGACAAACATATCAATTGTGACACTAGCTCTCCACATATGTCAGTTGCTTAATTTAGAACTTGTACTTGAGGTCGATCTCGAACCCATTGTTGATGTGACGACTTATAATGAATTTTGTAACTAGCTCATCAAGATTGTAACTTGCTTAGCTAAATGAATTGTGGGGTTCAGTCCCTGAGCCCATTATGTGCCTCTGTAACCCTTTCCACTACCGCCCACAAGATGGGTATGGGGTGCATAATATATGAACTAAACTAAACTAACGGTTATGTTGAAGACGTCATTAAAATAAAGGTGAATCGCCATACAACCTCTGAAGATTCAACTAGCACAACACTTGTACCCCCGATTAGACTGTTTTACGGGAACTTCTTTTCGACGGCTCATAAAATGGAGGAAAGTGTCCTGAAAGATATTATTGATAGGAATGTTATCCCACAGACACAAATCAGAAGATACAACTAACAATTTACTACAAAAACAAGAGGACGGCCAATCTACTTATGAAAATTCAAATTCAAATTCAAAAATTCAAATGTTTATTCAGGTAAAGTACATACATACAAGGTGTGATAACAAACATTGATGGATTTATAGATAGTGCTAGTACATACATCAGATATTATGTACCCCGACCTGCCCTGGTGACTCTCTATTACTCCCATATCTATCCATATCCCAACTATGGTATTTGTGCTTGGGGTTCTACTACCCAAAATCATTTACGTCCTCTAATTACTCAACACAAAGCTGCTATTAGGACAATATCCAACTCTGGCCCCAGACATCACTCGGTACCCCTACTCAAATCTCTGAATATGTTAGATATTAAGTCACTGCACTTCTCTCATGTGTATTATACATATATAAAACGCTAAACTGTAATGCCAATCCTGACCTCAAAAGCTTCATAGAAGGTTGTAACAGAACCCATGAGCACCACACCAGAAATAAATACAGTTTTGATATTCCTAGAATACGACTTAATCAAACCAGAAATGCTCTTCAAATCAAGGGGCCCAGAATGTGGAATGACCTTCCCAACCATGTTAAAGACTGTACCTCTCTCAACCAGTTTAAGTTAAAAACGAAGCTATACCTAATAAACTCCCTATAACCTACCTTAACCCCCTGTTGTCAACCCATGTATGTTTTCTTTTCAAAACAACGCTGTTTGAATGTAATTGTCTGTAATAATTTGTAATTGTATTTGTGCTGCTTTTTCAGCCATGTTCCCCCCTCTTTTACCTCTATTTATATTTGTACTCAACACATTTTATTCTTTATACCCATTAGTATTAAGCTTTAGTCATTAATGTTTTTCCTGCCCGAAACGCTTTGCGCAATAGTGGCTTTAGGCATTGTATGTACTAGCTCTATCTATTAATCCAACAAACTTTGTAAAATCTCTTGTATGTATGTACCTTACCTAAATAAACATTTATTTATTTATTTATTTATTTATTTATTTATTTATTTATATTATTTATATTATTATTATTTATTTATACAATGCCTAAAGCCACTATGACGCAAGCGTTTCGGGCAGGAAAAACACTAAAGATTAAAATTTAAGGCATTGTACTTTACTTCTTGTCGAAGCAAGGCTTGTTCTTTAATCAGCTTCTTGGGTGAGAAAAGGGGAACAGTAATTTGGAAAGGAGTGATCTTCCATGGGACAGGAAAGTGTTGTTGTTGTCTCCCTTGGTAGGGGTGATGAAAGTTATACATACTGAGCACATTGGCAGTTACAGTAATCCATTTCGAGGGATGCTGATCTTCAAGGAAGAAGGCTTGGAGGGCTTCAGTGCAGGGGTTAGGGTGGGTTACCCTAAGCATCTTGATACCAATTAAAGCATTAATTTCAGTGATACGATCACTTACACGTGAAATATTCAGGTCCTCCCTCATGTTTAGTAACTTAGTTGTACGGGGGCATCCGAGGATTATCCTCATAGCTTCGTTTTGTATCTCTTCCAGGCCTCGAAGCATTCTCTCAGGCACTAGAGCAAGCATGGGTGCAGCATAATCAATCAGAGACCTAATATATGAGAGAGACATCATTTTGACAATTTTCGAGAACCCAGGCGAGTGTGTTACCACTTCGGCACGGATTAATTAATTAATTGCACTGCATTGATTAATTATCATCATTAATAATGATTAAGTGTCACTTCAAGTGCAAGAGGTCCCGGGTTACTTACGATGCCATGAAAGGCATTAGTTGAATGGCAAAAGTGCAGTGGAACAATGAATGAGTTGTCTGGTTTAGAGGTAGTCTTTGGGTTATGTAGACCTGGGATCAAATGCCAAACAGATAAGTTCGAAGAATTATTCTATCTTTGAATTGTTCTTTCACTTCTATAAACCAACACTTGGGGACGTTGAAAGAACTGGACCAAATACAAAATAGTAAAATTGAGAAGTAACAACTCGCGAAAACTTCTACCATCAGAAAATACTGCAAAAACAGAAAAATTGTAACCTCTTGCCGTGACCAGGATTCGAACCTGGGTTATTGCGGCCACAACGCAATGTACTAACCACTATACGATCACGGCCACCAGTCCGGTGATACCTGACAGACTATCAACTTTTATAACATGTCTAACGTCCTTTATATTTTGCCATCAGTATATATTTGTTCCCATAGCAGTTGACACCCGTGGCTCTCGGCACCAGTGTGATCAGTTCCCTCAAGGAACTGGGTTTTAGGCCCACTGACACCGGGCCTAAGTTAAATATGGTTCAAGAAATATTAGCATATAGACACCCGCAGTTGATTTTTTGACCCGCATTGTTATCAAGGCAAATTGGGAGGACCTTTGACAAGCCGGCAGCTTCCTGTCCTCTTCGAGGCCACTAGTATTAGTAGCCCTCAGGTAAAAGAACACTGTTTTTCCAAAAAACGGTGGGTTTTCTGAGTGGAAGAGAAAACGTATGTCTGGAAGCTGACTTTAACCGCCCAAGCTGCACGCGCAATTAGCCGAGGTTATATAAACCTGGACGGAGACTGCGTGGCCCCTCTTCCCAAGCCAGCAGCTGCTCTTACATAACGCCCATCCTCCTCCCGGGATCCTCTGCATCCTCTGTTTTAATTTTGAAAGGGACGGCCCACAGACGTGCTCAAGGGGCACTTGCTCTAGCATGCTAAGCATTTGCTGTATCTTTGGGGGTGCTCCGCCGGAACCCCCAAAGTGATAAGCCTGCAGATAGCTAAGAAATATTCCCACGAATTGTAATTAGTGTAATTAAATTAATGCAACTTTCATTTACTACCTATGGATGTAGTTATTAATTGTAATTGATTTCTACTTTATCATTAAGGATTATTCATTATAATTATTCCTTAATACTTTATTGTTATGCACTAGTCAATAATTATTTATCAATAATTTGGAAAGGAGTGATCTCCCATGGGACAGGAAAGTGTTATTGTTGTCTCTCTTGGTAGAGGTGATGAATATTATTCATTCTGAGCACAGTGGCAGCTTTGGTAATCCATTTGGAGGGATGCCGACCTTCAAGGAAGATGGCTTGGAGAGCTTCAGTGCAGGGGTTAGGGTGGGTTACCCTAAGCATCTTGATACCAATTAAAGCATTAATTTCAGTGATACGATCACTTACACATGAAATATTCAGGTCCTTCCTCATGTTTAGTAATTTAGTTGTGCGGGGGCATCCGAGGATAATCCTCATAGCTTCGTTTTGCATCTTTATATTTTGCATCATGCATTTTTTTTATTTATTTAATTTATTTATTTATTTATTTATTTATTTATTTATTTATTTATTTATTTATTTATTTATTTATTTATTTATTTATTTATTTATTTATTTATTTATTTTTATTTATTTATTTATTCATTTATTCATTCATTCATTCATTCATTCATTTCATTCATTCATTCATTCATTCATTCATTCATTCATTCATTCATTCATTCATTCATTCATTCATTCATTCATTCATTCATTCATTCATTCATTCATTCATTCATTCATTCATTCATTCATTCATTCATTCATTCATTCATTCATTTATTTATATTTATTTATACGAAACGTACAAATTTTGTTCTGGAAATGGTCCAAATATGTGTGTACGCTCCGCGATGTGTACCAAGTGACTGGCTTGGGCCGGGTTATATAGGGCCGCGGCGAGGGTCGCGGCTCAGTGCCGAGGTGTCCACTGTCGGGTAGGCTGCTGCGTCTCATCTCTCGAAACTTCTCTTTTATAATGGCCAAGCTTAAGGTCCATATCGTGTACTGGTGAGTAAAATGTGGTAGTGAGGAGGGCTCGTGTTGCAGGCGGGGCAGTCATCATAATAAGTGAGGAGAAGCTCGGGAATGTGTATACCTCTGCCACGAGGGTGTTGACATCGGTTGTCTTGGCAAGTGCAGTTGTCTGTATTGATCCTTAAGGAATTGGTAAGTTCCCGGCGTGTCTGGCTGACCATCACTATACCTGTAGCACAACACGCAGCACCACTTAACACTTGCAATCTTTCCCCCAAAATACCGGAAACGCTATGCGTGTTAGTGACTGTAAGAATGTAATAACTCCACTGTTATGTGCTCTCTTAAACCCAATGTACATCTTGTATATGTATAAATAAAGTCCAAGCGTCGAGACACTCAAATGATTTCTTGGCTCAAGAAGGTCAAGCGCCATATTTCAAAATCCAGCTCGACAAAATCAGGACAAATGGGAGGGGCACTTTTGACAAGCTGCTGCCTTCCTGTCATTGTCGAGGCCGCTAGAGAGAGAGTGACTCCGGTAAACTGTTAAAAATAAAGTCCCGAAACGCATTGCGTAATAGGGCTTTAGGCATTGTATGTACTAGCTCGCCGGGATATATCAATCCATTAATGTAACATCACTTGTATGTATATACCTTACCTGAGTGGGCCCCGGAATCTGAATCCGGGATCTTCAGTGGGCCCCGGGAGCACGCCGGGAGTGGGCCCCGGGAGCACGCCGGGAGTGGGCCCCGGGAGCACGCCGGGAGTGGGCCCCGGGAGCACGCCGGGAGTGGGCCCCGGGAGCACGCCCCCGGGAGCACGCCGGGAGTGGGCCCCGGGACCAGTGGGCCCCGGGAGCACGCCGGGAGTGGGCCCCGGGAGCACGCCGGGAGTGGGCCCCGGGACCACTCCCGGGAGTGGGCCCCGGGACCACTCCCGGGAGTGGGAAATTATGCTCATCACCACAGGGATATATACACTGAGAAGTGTAATCTTCTCAGAGTATATAAACTGAGAGTTTACTTCAGTCCTGGACTGTGTTGAGGACTAAAGTACTATAGTATACTGTATTCTCAGACTGGTCGGTGTTGATAGCTTCTTTTCTTGCAAGTTGGTTTTTGATCCCTAGATGGTCCATATGGTTAGACACCAATCCTCCCTCCATCCTATCCCAGCTCCTTGTATCCCTTCCAAGTGATATAATCAGGTAAATTCAGGTAAATAATTATTTTTTTTATATATACATGTATATATAATTATTTTAATCCTTTAGAGGGAAATAGATTTTTTGCAAACACCTAACCAAAATTATGCTCATACATTTCCCTACAGCGGTGCCTGAGGTTACGCCCCCAAGTTCAGGAAGCTGAAAGAGCAACTTGACGGGGAGTTTCCTGATAAGCTGGACATTGTAAGTGTTATCTTGCTTCTGTTACTTTTTTGGGGGAGATGTGTGTGTATATTATCTCTCATGTTTGTGTTTCATATTTGACAGAGGTTGCTTTTGTTTCTAGGTAATTTTCCATGGTATTATATGGCATCTCTCATAGTTTTAACGTGTAGAACCCTGGTGGCAAATTGTATATTCATTTTAATCCTTTGTTGGCATCTGTGGTTGGAACGTATGACCTTGAGGGATGTCTTACCTGCTACCAGTAGATAGTTAAAATGCTCCCAACTACACTGAAGCCAGAGATAGTCCCAGAAAGGGAGAAAGGAGGCATTTATGTATTTTAAGAATGCAGTAGTGATACAGTACAGTACCTTGGTTTTCGAATTTAATCCGTTCCCAGAGACGGCCCATAACCCGATAATTCGCAACCCGAAAGAATTTTCCCCATAAGAAATAATGTAAATTGAATTAATCCGTCCCACATTCCCAAAAATATTGACTTCAAAATACATAATACACACATATTTTGTACTGTACTATGTACAAGTTACAACTTACCTTTATTGATGTTTTGTTGGCGTATGGAAGACGGCGAGGAGTGGGGGGGAGAAGAGGTGAGGTATTAGTGTTTGGAAGGGGAGTCCCCTTCCATTATAAGATCAGGCAGTGATGACTTCTCTGGGGGGTACTCTTTCTCCTACGTTTTGCAGGCATACCACTAGGACCTGGCTGCGACTCGCTGCTTGCTTGTCTTGCTAAGAATGTGTCTAAAGACACTTGTTTTTCCCTACATTTTAACACTTGTCTGTAGTAAGACATCACATTGTCATTAAAAAGGTCAATGCAACGGCCTGCTACAGCTTTATCTGGGTGAATTTTTTCAACAAAACTTTGCAGTTCTTCCCCATACTTCACACATTTTCTTAATAAAGGGACATCCTCTACTGCTTCTACTCTCAACTATTTTCTTAGATTGAACCTTACCACCGACCTTCTTGGGACCCATAGCGTGGTTTATAATATGTAATTAACCAAAAAAGCTGAAAAACAATGAAATTCTTTAGAAAGAATTTAAGCGGGATCGTCACTACGTGGGAGACACTGGTAAACTGAAGGGCAGTCGCCCGTGCCACCAGGAACCACGAGCTCAGTCGACCCATAAAAGTACAGTATCAACAAACTCGCAAAGCGAGGCAAAGCTTGTAACCCGATTCAAATTTTACAAAGAAATTGGGCTCGTAACCCCAAAAAATTGTAAAGAGGAACGTTCGTTACCCACGGTTCCACTGTACTGGTATATAATAATGTTTGCACCAAGACATCCCAGTGTAGAAGGATGGGACTGTTTTCATTTGCCCAAGGTCTTATATAAAAAATTAAAAACAAAATTTCACCCATAATGAAAATGTACATTAATAAATGCACTGCACAATGGAAGTACTGTAGTGTAAGAGTTTATCAATATTGGTTTATACTACATAGTGGATTTATGTTGCCAGAGGTTTTAACAAATTACAGTATTAATTAAACAGTTTCAAGGCTAAATAATACATTAACCACAGGATATGTTTAAACATTAATTAAAACTGTGTTAGACCATTAAAGGATTTGTGACTTATCGTATATATTTGTCCATTACAGTCGGGTGAAGGAACACCCGAGGTGACTGGATACTTTGAAGTCACTGTTGGAGATGAGCTCATTCATTCGAAGAAGGTGGGTATTAGTTTCGTGTTATGACCACAGGTTAAAAATGGTCAAGTATTCTATAGTAATGGAGATGTTAGGCTTATATGAAGGTACCCTTAAGGTCGCTACTGACCCTTTCCAGGCTGCAGCCCCACAAGAGTTTACTAACTTCCAGGTACCAATTTGTTGCTAGGTGAACAGGAACATTAGGTGAAATGAAATGTGGCCAAGCATTTGTTCCACCTGGGATTCAAATTGATCTCGTATCCATCTGGGATTTCAAATTGCCAGTCGAGAATGAGGCCAACTGTACTACAAAGATCCTATAATATACTTTCATTATCCAAAATTTATCAGTTATCTATAATTGGTCACCAGAAACTGTGTTCATTCTAACATCACAATTGTAATTCTGGGACTTGGAACTGTTTTTAAAGAAGTTATGGGTACAGTGGTGGTGAATATTTTAAAAGTAACTGTACTGTATGGTTAACATCTGTTCTTACTAATGGTTATAAACTTTTCAAGAGATAAGAATATCCAGCTGATTGCGTTTTTAAGTCTCAATCGGGGATCCTTTTATATAAAGCCTCTGTTCACTTGGCAGTAAACAGATACCTGGGAGTTAGGTAACTGTTGTGGGGTTGCATCCTGGGGAGGGTCAGTAATTCAATCTTAGGGGCGCCTTGATACAAGCCTAAAGTACAGGTACATATATATATATATATATATAATATATATATACACACAGGCTTCCTGCCCCCAATAATGGAAGTTATTATATACTGTATATATACATGTTGCCCTTGTGTTTTACTGTTGACTTTTAGCATTTTAATAACTAAGGATGTGTAAACAAAATGTTGCTAAATACATCTAGAATTTAAAATGAGGAAGCATATGTAATGGTAACTTGTATATAGTGTATGTGCATCCTCCATATTATATAAAGATTTTTTTTTTTGGGGGGGGGGGGATGGAGAAAGGGCATAGGGTGGATTTAGGGCTAAGGGCAGATACCAGAATCGATTATGTTATTAAGCATATATTTTTCCCAGAACACAATCGACCAGTTGTTTTACAGTCTTGTTCCCAACTACTGTTGGGGTACACAGCACAACAGTGATGGCATGGTAGCTCAGTTGTTTGACACTATCCAGCCCTTCTATATTGTGTATTGAGTAATATAATATACTGAACTGTAATACTTTTGTATGTACTTCAGAATGGTGATGGTTATGTCGACAATGAGAAGAAATACGACAAAATAATCGATGCAATTAAAGATGCCTTGGGCGACTAGATAGCATCGGACTTGGTGTTCGTCCATCAATGGTACAGTCCAGATATTTTAGTGTGTGTTTTGTATTAGGGAAGATCATGACCCACAAAGACTAATATTGGGATAATCTTCCTCCCATTTATGCCTCTTTCTTTGTTCATGCAAACTGCTGAACTACTTGGTGGAACTATATGTAGATACATCTCCATGTCATCCTTATTGTGACTACTGTTTTGACCAGTTTTTATTCCATTTATCATTGTTACTCAATTTCTCACTAATGATTTGGGTAGAAATCATAGAAATTCAGTGCAGAAGAATGGTGAATGCTTCTCGTCAGTCTATAATCCCATTCATTTAGCATGACCATATTATATCTGCAGGACTTTGGAAAATGTACAATGTGCATTTGCATTTATGTGATGCTTTCATTTCTTGCTTTTATCTATCCTCTTAACACCATGTGTGTGTTTCAAATTAACTTTGTTACAACATGCCGTTTTTATTTTATTGTGCTCATGCCACACTTGTATCTCAAACATGTACAAGTGTAGGTGGGGCTTTCTTAATGGCATTGTAGGCCCTGGGTAAAGTAATACCTATACAGGCATTGCTTTGGCCAGGGGCATTAGCAGATGGGCAGGTGCCCCATCATCTGGGGCCCTGCCTGTCTGCTAAACTACAAGATTTCCATTCGATAGTTATGTATACATTATTTATATTATAAATATAATTGAAAAATGGATTTTGAATACCTGGCCTTTCCAGCAAGGGGGCGAGTAATTATGATCTCTACCAAGAGATTTCTTATGAACAATATGGCAGCATGGAGCCCTAGAATAGTGGAGCCCCTGGGGAGCTGCCCAGAATGCCCATGTATTAAGACGGCACTGATTGAAGGGACTAAGATTCTTTCATGCAGTCCCTTGGTGCTTTTCTCACAAAGACTTTCATGTCTGCCATTTGCATTCCCTGACTCACTATACTGAACTCTAAACTTGCTTACCTTCCCTTGTCTTTTGACAGTCACACACCATTAATATTTTATCAGGTGCATGTCCATTTCCATATTCATTTACATTGTGTACAAGAAACATCACAGTATTTCTAACCCTGCAATAACTTATGTTTTGGCTGTTAACATGTGTTACAGGACATCTTAAAACTGGTTTGTTAAGAGTTCTGCTTAAGACTGAATATTCCACAAGTTAAATATCAAAGTACAGTACTGTATGTACTTTTGTTAATGATGCATATCTTTGCATTTTTCTATAACCAGTATGTATATGCATTAAGCCAAATGATGAACTGCAGGTGTGATGGTGATTATCCTGGTGGCATGACTACAGAGGATGAAGCAGTGGGTTGAAAGCCTCTTCAGGAATGACTCACAGTGGAAGAAAGAGGAGACCTGCCAAATAAATGCTGGGATTGTCACAAATGCATCAGAGATGGAAGACACCTTTTCATCCCTTATGGTTGTCTGAATATTCAGCAGCAAAAATATATATATATTGCATTCTGATTCTACTTTAATTTGGAATTTCAAGGTTGAGAAATTTTTAGGTCTTTAATAAAATGGTATCTTGTACACATTACTGTACTGCATTTGGATGTTATTTTTAATATATAAAATTAAAAATTTAAATATTAAATTATAATATTTAAAATCTTATAAGAATGGCAATATAATACTGGGTAAAATATAATGTACTTCTGACTTGGCATTTTTATATACTGTATCCTTCAATCTACTAATATTTGGTTAAATCTAAAATGTCTTGTTGACATTGGTTATAAAATTTTGTATTTTTCAGCATATTTAGAATTTAAATATTGCACTAAGAGCATTCATTTTCTAATGGGAGTAGGGAGTCATCACCTCGGTGGAAAAAGGAGAATGTAGCGAGATGATTAGTTATTCTGTTATAAATATACTGTAGAGGCATTTAATAAAAAAAAAAGTGTGACAGGTTGGAGGCGAGACACAAGGGGTTAGCCTTGCTCAACTTTCACACATGAAGCACGGGGGTGCGAGTGTATAATAGGCCAGTCAGAATTGGTCCCAGTGTCACACTTAAGAAATATCAACATCTAAATTCCACCCTTCACTGCGATATTCATGAAATCTGAAATATTGGGCGTGTTATCTGTGTAGATTTATTTAGCAGTTTCAGTGCTTGTTTTATTACAGTTTTGGAGAGGGGGAGTAGTTTCAAGAGAGGTGAAAGGGAGCAGGAGACAGCCTGAGTTCATCTGGGTACCCTCCTCTAATTTGTTACATCATTCATTTTATATGATCACAGATAAACAAGCACCACCACATTCAAGCTGTCATCCACAGCAGTAACCCACCACATCATAGTACATGGTGTTCAGTACATGTGAATTCTTGTACATTACATTTACTTAGCTTTATCTGAGCCTTGCCCTTAAAATATACCACATTATGTTCACTCGATCCCATTTCCTCACAAAATTACTGTAACTGCCCATCTCTTTCTGCTCTTCGTCTCAAATTCGGAATACACTTTTTTTAACACGTCTACCATCAACTATTAAAATGGGCCTAGATTATTTGTTTGCTTGCCTCTATCTTGCAGTTTACCAACTCTGCAGATACACTCTGCATCTCTTGATATTTTCATTCTATAACTTATCTATTCTGCATCACACATTGGTCACCCATTTCTATTGCTGTAAACCTAGATTTTTTTCAAGATTTATATCAAAGATGTACAGAAATACCAGAATTTTAGCAAAAAAATTATTTTACAATTAATTGTAAAGAATTTTATAGGCTTATACGAGAGAAGTAAAACTAATGTCATAAGGAGATTGTTATTAGTAATTTTCTCAAATTAGAGATGACTGCACCCTCTTGTTTGTTACTATAAAGTAATTATCAAAAGAAGGCACCAAACCGGGAAGGCTATGTAGCACCATCAAATGTGTGGAATAATCAGAGGGCGGTAAATATCACCAAGGATGCCAATACGAGAACAGAAACGCATAAGGCGAATGATATCAAAAGTCCGATTCACCAAGAATTCTATAGAGGGACAAGTGACCGCAAGAGACGGTCAGAAAACAAGACACGTTTGTCCTGGAAGTCGGGACATTCAACAAGGATATGTACGACTAAGAGGGACAATGCAATTTTGACAATAAGGAGCAGGGCAGTGCTCCATTATGTGACCGTGAGTTAAGCGCGTATGGCCAATACGCAACCTTGCTAGAGCCAGTTACAGTGGTAGGAGGAATGCTACGGGGGGACACTGCTTAAGAGTACGCAGTTTGTTACCAACAACTCTGCCAATGGGCAAGGATGGAGGAATGAATAACCGGATAAAAGTCAGAATACCTTTACAGGAAATGGGACAAGAGGGGATAGCTTCCTTAGCAGCAGCATCTCCACTCATTTAAAGAAACGCCAATATGGCTGGGAACCCAGCAAAACTACGGATATAAATTTACTGGAGATAAACAGCCAATGTTGAATCTCAACGACTGCCAGATGGACTGGATTAAAGGACTCTAGAGCCATGAGGGCACGAGAGTCAACTACAACCACAAAAGAGGATTGACAACGAGAAAGCAGGAAACGAAGAGCATAGAGAATAGCAAAAAGTTCCGCTGTGAAAATGCCAGTCTCTGGAGGTAGGCAACACATATAGGTGTGGTCAGGAAAAACAACAGAGTAGCCAACACCGTCCGCAAACTTAGGCCCTTCGTTGAAGATGGAAACGAAGTGGGAGTGCAAAGAAAAGTGCTCAAGGAAAAGGCGTTTCAGAACCGTAGGAGGGGTAAAAACTTTTAGTGATGTGGGTCAAGGATGTACAAAATTTTGAAAGGGGGACTCTCCATGAACAATACGAGGAGAAATATTAGAAATACGAACCGAGAGAGAATCCTGAAAGCGAGATAACTGGACAGAAAGAGGGAGGTGGTGAAGAGGAACAGGAACTACAGGAGGGGTAAAAGTCAAACCACGACAGGCGAGAGGAAGGATGTTGCAAGGACCGTGCAAAATAGCGAAGACAGTAGCTATCACAGCGGTCCTGGAGAGAGAGGAAGCCAGTGTCAACATACAAGCTGAGGGCGGGAGTCGAACAAATGGCACCAGAGCCGAGGCGCAACCCAGTATGGTGCAAAGTATCAAGACGGCAGAGTAAAAACAGAAGCAGACGAGTAAGCAGGGCAACCATAATCGAGTTTAGACAGGACGAGGGAGGAATGTAAAGCGAGCGAGTGCGCGCTTATCCGCTCCCCAAGAAGGATGGGACAAAACCTTAAGGAGGGTAAGGGCCTTAGAGCATTCAACTCGGAGATAAGAGATGGCGACGAAGACAAACGGGTGTTAAAGATTAACCCCAAATGCTTAGCAGAATCCTTATACTCAAGGGGATGACCATAGAGCGACGAAGAGGGACGAAGAACAACATGCTTCCGAGTAAAAGTCATAGCACAAGTCTTAGACGTAGAGAACTTGAAGCCATGACCGGTGGCCCAAGACGACACGGCATCAATAACAAATTGAAGGAGAGGAGAATCATCACCCCCGACAGCAAAGGGTAAGATCATTGACATAGGGAGCAGAGAACACGCCAGAAGGGAGGGAGGAAAGAAGACCATTGAGGGCAACTAGAAAAAGAGTAGTGCTCAGAACACTACCTTGGGGTACTTGTTACTATAAAACCACTTATGGTTATAAAGCTTCCAATCACACATACTGTGCGTATAATAACTTACACAGGATAAATAAAAATTAAATATAAAATCATTTTGATTTATTATAGTTTTTACATTCTTCGGAACTTCAGTCACTACACCACTGTGAATAGATATTTTATACATAAAGTACCTAAAGTATAATAAAGGTATAGAGTACCCTTTTCATTTTGTCACTTGTATTAAAGTGGCATGATAAGAGCTATACAGTATATTTAAGATAACTTAAGAGTATAAATGACCGGAAGCATTCTATGGAGGCAAGGATCCAGTTTAATTTACTTTACAGTCTGAACTACTGGAGTTCAATGTTTATGCTCTTGTCAACTTTGATAAAGAAGCTAAAAATGTGTAAGGAATAAAATTAAATTTTTAATTTTAGTATGAACATCTATAACTTCATTACTGTATTGTGCTTATGTTATACTTAAAACATTCTATAAAGAAAATATCTCGTATCCAGATTATAAAGAATTAAAACGTTTGGAGTAGATTCTTTAGTAATACAAAGTTAGTTGTTAAACCAGTCCAGCTATTTACAACTGAATGTGCTCTCAATTCTAGCCAATATGTGGTACCCAATCTTGTGCTTATGTATATATATATATTTATTATTATATATATATATATATATATATATATATATATATATATATATATATATATATACATATATATATAATACAACCCGTTCTCGCAAATTCAATAAGTCAATATTGACTTATTAAATATGTGCATAGGTGACATACTTAACATAATAGTTTCCCTTGAAAAGCTTCATAGAAAACACCGACCTTACCTAACCTATTTAGTATGTTAAGATAAGCATCTTATTGCTCCGTAATTACAATTATTACCTAACCTATACCTATAATAGGTTAAGTAACAATTGTAATTACGAAGCTATAAGATGCTTATTTTAACATACTAAGTAGGTTAGGTATGGTCGGTGTTTTCTATGAAGCTTTTCAAGGGAAACTATTATGTTAAGTATGTCACCTATGCACATATTTAATAAGTCAATATTGACTTATTAAATTTGCGAGAACGGGTTGATATAATAACATGTTTCATTGAATATGACCGCATATTCTGTATTTATTATTTTCTGGTTTAGGGCTTCTATCCCTCTAACTATTTTCTTAGCATCAGGGCTTAATTGAAATAGGAGTTCTCCAAAACTCATTTTCGTACTTTTAAGGTGAAGAAAAGAAGTGATTTACTATAGAGTGTATTACACTTATTTGTATAATTTGCAAGACGTCGTTATTACGTCGTTATTATTTCGTATTTATTATTACGTAGTTATTATGACGTCGTTATTATTTGCACGACGTCGACGTAATAATTTGTTACGTCGTGCAAATTATACAAATAAGTGTAATACACTCTATAGTAAATCACTTCTTTTCTTCACCTTAAAAGTACGAAAATGAGTTTTGGAGAACTCCTATTTCAATTAAGCCCTGATGCTAAGAAAATAGTTAGAGGGATAGAAGCCCTAAACCAGAAAATAATAAATACAGAATATGCGGTCATATTCAATGAAACATGTTTGAAAGAAAACCTGCTGCCAGTATACACCAATATATATATATATATATATATATATATATATATATATATATATATATATATATATATATACAGTATAATAAATATATATATATATATACAGTATAATAAATATATATATGTCGTACCTAGTAGCCAGAACTCACTTCTCAGCCTACTATGCAAGGCCAAATTTGCCTAGTAAGCCAAGTTTTCATGAATTAATTGTTTTTCGACTACCTAACCTACCTAACCTAACCTAACCTAACTTTTTCGGCTACCTAACCAAACCTAACCCATAAAGATAGGTTAGGTTAGGTTAGGTAGGGTTGGTTAGGTTCAGTCATATATCTACGTTAATTTTAACTCCAATAAAAAAAAATTGACCTCATACATAATGAAATGGGTAGCTTTATCATTTCATAAGAAAAAAAT